ATCTTTGTACTTTTCTTCAGGTGTTTATTGCACCAGACTCTTTTATGGAGTTTTACAAAGGCTCTATATGCCTTTGCTATTCTGTTGTCTATCTCTTTGTCGATCGCAGCATCCGAGGAAATGATGCTTCCCAGATAGCTGAACTGCTGAACTGTCTTAAGGTCTGACTCGCCGATGGTAATATGGGGATGGCGATAATCTTCTTGCGGTGCAGGTTGGTAGAGGACTACTGTCTTCTTCAAGCTGACTTCCAGCCCAAAAACCTCAGCCACCTCCGCAAAGCAAGATGTTAAACTCTGCAGAGCTGCTTCTGTGTGGGCAACAAGGGCGGCATCATCAGCAAAAAGCAGTTCACGGACAAGATCGTTTAGGGTCTTAGTGTGGGCCTTCAGTCGCCTTAGATTGAACAGGCTACCATCGGTATGATATCGAATATAAATGCCGTCTTGTTCGTCGAGGTCTGCCGTAGCCCTTTGGAGCATCATGCTAAAGAAGATTGTGAATAAGGTTGGTGCGAGAACGCAACCTTGTTTCACACCATTGGTTATTGGGAAAGGCTCAGAGAGTGCATCGCCATATCTGACTTGGCCTTGCTGATCCTCATGTAACAGAATAATCATTTTGAGGAACTTGGGGGGACAACCTAATCGTTCCAAGATAAGCCACAGGCCTTTTCTGCTCAAAGTGTCAAAAGCTTAGGTGAGGTCAACGAAAGTTACGTATAACCCCTTATTCTGTTCTCTACACTTTTCTTGCAGTTGTCTGAGAACAAATACCATGTCTGTGGTACTTCTATTAGCCCTGAAACCACACTGACTTTCAGGTAGAAGTTCTTCTGCAATAGCATGTACTAGTCTGTTCAATAGTATTCTTGCAAGAATTTTACCAGCAATTGAGAGCAGAGTTATACCACGGTAGTTTGAGCAGTCTGACTTGACACCTTTTTTCTTATACAGAGTGACGACGATTGCGTCACGAAAGTCTGACGGTATTTTGCCTTGTTCCCTACAGCACACAACTAGCTCATGAAATTTAGCGTGAAGTGCTTGGCCTCCATGCTTACAGATTTCAGGTGGGACTCCGTCAACTCCAGCTGCCTTGCCAGTTTTCACCTGCTGTATGGCCTTAAGAGTCTCTCCCATGGTAGGGGCTAAATCCAATTCGTTTTTCACTGGATGTTGCAGAATGTGCTGGATTCCTTTGCCTTGGACTACACGATTAGCGCTAAAGAGGGTTTGAAAATGTTCAGACCAACGATTCAGGATGGAGATTTTATCTGTAAGAAGCGTTTGGCCATCTGCACCAAGTAAGGGGCTTTGAACCTGAAATGTGGGTCCATACACTGCCTTCAGAGCCTCATAGAATCCTCTATGGTCACCCAAATCTGCACATAGTTGAGTCTTTTCTGCTAGGTTGAGCCACCACTTGTTCTGGATGTCTCTAAGTTTCTGTTGGAGTTTGCTACATGCAAGACGAAAGGCTGCTTTTCTTACATGGCAGAGTGGCTGAGCGAGGTGTGCTTGATGAGCAGATCTCTTTTTTGTCAGCAATTCCTGGACCTCCTGGTTGCTATCGTCAAACCAGTCTTTGTTTTTCTTTGAGGAGAACCCAATGGATTCTACGGAGGACTGCAGGATGCTATTTTTGATACATTGCCAAAGCGCTTCAGGAGAAGAATCTCTAAGTTGGTCTTCAAGCCTAGTTTGAAGGTTAGCCTGAAAGCTGTCCCTCACTGCAGCTATTTGAAGATTATCAACATTGAGCCTCCTCCTTGGAATGCCACCCCTCTTAGGTTTGGTCTTGAAGTGGAAATTAAGTTTGCAACACACAAGGCGGTGGTCTGTTTGGCATTCTGCACTAGGCATCACTCTGGTCTGGCAGACATCACGAATATTTCTCTGGCGCAGTAAAACATACTCAATAAGGTGCCAATGTCTAGATCGAGGATGCATCCAGGTTGTCTTCCAGCTGTCTTTCTGCTGGAAGATAGTGTTGGTGATGGTAAGCTGTTGCTCTGCACAGAACTCTAGTAAGAGGTGACCGTTATCACTGCAGCTGCCAACACCATGCTTGCCTAGTACTCCTTTCCAGGCTTCAAAGTTGTTTCCTACTCAGGCGTTGAAGTCACCAAGGATTATGATCTTATCTTCTATAGGAACCTGTTTTTGAGATGACGCAGGTCAGAGTAGATTTTTTCTTTTTCTGCAGGGTCAGCTTGCAGAGTTGGAGCATATATGCTGAAAAGAACAACATGTTGCTTATTGTGTAGTGGAAGACGTAAGGAGATAATACGGTCGGAATGACCTATCGGCAAATTTTCAAGTTTAGAGATGATGGAGTTTTTAATCATGAAGCCGACTCCAGAAATATGACAAGGGGGTGTCCGTGAAAGAGTAAGAGCAAAGTAATGCTGTTGAAATGGCTCACAATGAGCATGAACTTAGATTTTATGTCACTGCCTTCTTCCTCCATTCTTTCAGTCTTCTTTTGGCAAATGCCAACAACAGGATACTGGCCAAGACTGTTCCTACACAGCACAGCCATTCTCACATTTATTGTCATTCACATGGTAGAATTTGCAACTCAATTGTAAATGTTTCTCTTTGATAAGTGATATCAATACTAAACAACTTGCCACTAAGGAATACCCTTTCTTCTCTCCCCATCTTTATCAGTTTGACAGCTTCCCACAAGCACACAGTTCGATGCTCTTCCTACCCATGTGTTTCCTACCCCTTCTTTAAACAGTCACTTTTATTCTTGGTAAAATTTCACATACGAATAAAATGCACATTCAACTTGAGAGTCATTTTATTCAGGCTTTGGAATACCAAGTAAAGTGCTCCCAGCCATGTAAGGTATTACTGACCAACATACATACACTAGTTAGTTTTATACCTTTTATTTTTGCTATTACTCTTATTTACTGGTGGAAAAATGACACGTTTTGCCAGAAGTTAGCAAATTGAAAATCCTTTTGTATCCCGTTGTACTTGACTTGCAAACTTACTATTACTGTAATTTAAATACTAATAGACAAAAAATCCCATCATATTCACAAAGCAGTGGTATTCAATGTGATCAAAAAGTATGACATTACTATAATAATGGATGCACACTACTTACTTTATCCTTTAATACCTGAAATTTATTGAATTAGAGGGTAAAATATGTCAATTTCTCATAACCATCTAACTTAGAAAATAAATGCTATCAGTGAAATTGCAGGATACAAAATTGCTAGTTACATTCACTGAGACCAGAATTTCACTCTTAAGAAACCACAAATAGAATTTTAATTATCAACAACCTAATCATTTTATAGAGTACTGCAAAATATATTTTTTAAACACTACTACAGAGTCTTCAGTACTTGCAAAAACAGGGTCCTAGTTTAATTTCTAAGCATCACATTTGTTTTTTACTTTTAAATTCAAACACAAAAGTTCAGAACTGTTCCTCATACTAAATCAATTATTGGCATCTTGAGTTATCTTGAGTAACGGGTTGTAAAATTAACAGTGATAAAATAATGCCCCCACCCTCCCAAAAACCCCACAACTATTTAATTTCTTTGAGATTAATTTCTTATTGTCTTTCATAAAGAAAGTAAAAAGAAGAAAAACAATTAATCCAGCAGATTTCTTGTTCTGATGACGAAATGCGTTATATTAGCAAGCAAGACAATTTGGTCTTTGTGAACTGCAAATTTAAGATAAGGATTTTTATAAAACTGACTTGCAGGACAAAGTTAAGTGTGATTTTGCCCTCAAACAAGAAGAGAATATATGCAGTTCAGGGTTAAAGAGAAATAGATTTATTCTGTATGAAACAATCTTGACTGTGCAACATGCTAAGCATATGCTTAATGCAGAACAGTGCATATCTTAAACTATAGGGACTAATTGTGACACAGTTCTAGAGCACTACCTTCATTTGTACTATAGACTTGATTGTGCATAATTAATATTTTTGTTTCAAGGAACACTGCTGCAAAAGTCTGATAATGAGAAAAAACCTGGATGGAAATTGAAAAAGACATGGAAATATTAAGTATAGTGACAACACACAAAAAAAGTCTCCCTTTAGCTGCATTCCCAGTTAGGCTTCAAAATCAAACCTGTCAAATGGGAGCAGTATCCACTGCATAGTTCTTTGCAACTTAAGAAAGAGATCAGAGTTTTAAATAATTTTCTCAAAGGAAAGAAGAACATTTTGGTATGGCCCAAAAAGTCTTCTTGCTTTCTCAAAATTGCTTGGGAGTAAATTGATATATCTTTCACAATGAGATCCAGTAGAGAAATTTGATCCACCTTACTTAATTTCAGTAAAATGGAAGAAAACAATGTTTACAAATGGAAAGAATCAGAGAACCTTCTGAGTTCTAACCGTCACACTTCTGACATGATTTTTCTTCACAAAAATCTCTAATTGGTGAGTTTTCATTTATCCAGCAACAGCAAATCACTTGGAGCTATACAAAGAGCATCTTCAAACCCCAGAAAAAAGGCTAGAGTAGTAATTACATCATCTTTAGGCCAAGCTTTGCAAATTAACTGTGACTCAAGAGAGTTGTACACAGGACAGAGTAACATTGATCTGCAATGTTACTCATCCAGTTTTTGCTCCATTTGTGTGGTATGGCGAGATAAAACCTGAATTCACTAACTGTATGATCTTAATCATTCCCTAAACATTGAACTTTTCCATGGGTTTTAAAGTAGAGATGTAAGAGAATAATTTTGATATCTAGCACAATGTTTGTTAGGATTTGAAGTTCCAAAAAGCATGGGAAACAGAAGCCAGTATAGAAGACAATTTTCTAGAGCATAATGCAAAATTCTGAGAATCTCCCTCTTAGAAATCAGTGCACTGTTAGCCTAGTTCCAATTTCAAACATTTCCCAGACCTATTGTCAGGTACAGAATTACATCTACAGTGCATTTTAACATAGTGGGTTTTGCTGTTTGAGAAAATGTGACGTTTTTGTAACCTCTTACCCAGGACATAGTCGTCTTCTCTTTCATCTAAGTTAGTAGTTGCATGCCCAGTGGTACAGATGAACAGCAAGATAAAGGTTAAAGGTAAGGAACAGCCCTTCTTTCTTCCTTTCATCTTTCCTGTAGAACACATAAATGACAACACACACACTTCAGTCAACTTCTTGAGTGCTCTGTAAAAGTCACTAGAAGGGTAGTGCATAGCCATATGCACTATGGCTATGGGTAGATATACAAACTTGGAACTATAGAAATCATGTGAGCTATGTTATTATAAGTGTATTGTAAACATAATGGAAAACAAGACAAGATTTATAGTTGTGCTCAGCTGATTGCAAGCCTCGTATCCTATTGCCAGTATTAAAGGCATTGATATTACTTTTATTTCAAGCCACAGTTGAAATCACCTCCCAGAATACATAACAATACAAAATGTAACACTTAATACTTTTAATGTCCTGGCCAGTTTCACACGATGTATAGTTGACTACCACGTACAATCCTTCCAAATAAGTTTTACTCTGTCTGCAGACCCTAGATTCATTGGCACAAACACAAGATTCTATTTTTAACAAGTATTACATCAATTGATAGCTACCGAGTTCCCAGACTTCCGTGTAAGCTGCATTTCACAGGAGCTGGTGAACTTTTTGCAACATGGGCTTCAGTACCATAAGAAGTATTTCGTACCTTGTAGATCTCTTTAATATTGAATACCTTACTTTAGAGCCATTTTTCTTCTCATAGAAACAGTATAATCATAGTCATTCACACAAAGAAACCACTTTTATTCCATGGCAGCTGTTGTGTTAAAGTTGACAAAGATTAGGTAATGTATGCACATATGTGAGCACCTCTAAAAAACTTTTGCTTAACTGTGTTAGAAATACATATTTTCCAACTGACTAAAAGATCCTGAAGGATAAAGGGGGAGTGTCACGAGGATGGAGCCAGGCTCTTCTCAATGGCAAACAATGATAGGACAAGGGGAAATGGGTACAAACCGGAACACAAGAGGTTCCACTTAAACTTGAGAAGAAACTTCTTCTCAGTGAGGGTGACAGAACACTGGAACAGGCTGCCCAGGGAGGTTGTGGAATCTCCTTGTTTGGAGACATTCAAAACCCGCCTGGACACGTTCCTGTGTAACCTTATCTAGGTGTTCCTGCTCCAGCAGGGGGATTGGACTAGATGATCTTTTGAGGTCCCTTCCAATCTCTAACATACTGTGATACTGTGATCTCTGAAATCTAAAATTTGGCTAAGCCAATTAATATTGATTTAATAGAAATTAAGGATCTAAGGACTAGGAAGTTCCTAGCCTTCAGACACCGTTTTGTCTTTAGCGTTTTCCTTTGCACACCTTTGAAGATAGATTGTCTGCAGCACCTAAAACAGTGAGGGCAGGAGGGGCTATAGAAACAAATGAGATGACCTGTCATTGTGTGCTTGCGATACGGAGCTATATCAGGAAGGCTAAAGAGAGGATGATGAAGGGGCAGGTGACATTAACAGATTAATTAATTTAACAGATTAAACTCTTAATGATACATCTTTGTCTGTGAAGTCAGATGTAAATCACAGCTATGGTATCTAAGAAAACACTAGTAAGCAACGATGTCGCAGAAGGTGAAATTTGTGCAAAGAGAGATTAACCAGTTTGCCACAGCCACCCTGAATTGTGCCAGAGCTAGAAGGTGCAGTTATATCTTCAACACCAAATCAGAGCTAGAATTTTCATTTCTCTCTTGACAATGTGCCAATTTTTTCCTCCTGCATATTCAGCATTTTCCTAAGTAGAAAGTCTTAAAAAGTAAGTCTTGTTTAAACTGCAGACCAAACCATAAATAGCACTAATTTTTTCGGTAATTTTTTCGACTTTAGAAGGCTTCAGTATGCATTTAGTGAAAAAACATTGACAGATATCTTCATTCTTTTGTGTGTGTGTATAATGGAACAGAATTTTGCAATCTAAAAAATTTCTATTTGAACTGGAAATTATTACAGTGTTAACTTTTTAATCATAATGCTTTCATGCCAAAATAAACAAAAGAATGCATTTATCTTTCATTCCTTCTAAGCTCAATGTTTAAGCTTAATTTACAAATAAAATCCTTTATCCCATAAAGTTTATCAAAATAATCTAGATCTCATTTTGTGCTGTATTTTATTTCTATGAACAAATTCAGAAATTGTTGCTGTCTACTGCAGAGGCAATAAACTCTTGGAATAGGAATGACCTTGTTATGAATTCTGAAATGACATTATGCTGAGAAAATGTGCAAGAGCTACAACTGTTCATTTCCAGGTATTTTTCAAAGAAACACAAGCAGTGTCTTTATTCATGTTTCTAACTAGAACACCAGTTTTCATTCCTATATTATTTTACATATTAAAACTTAATAAGGTATTATTTTTCCCCTTTCCCCAGCAACAAATTTCTAGTGATCCATTTGCTCCATTCAGAGTGAACAATCCATAAATAATCTACCCCCAATCTTTTTACTGGAGGAATTAAATGTGGGCTACTTAGCTGACTGCAGGATATCCCTGCAGCATTGCTATAATGGGCAAAAAACATGGCACTGTGCTATGGATTTGTCATTTCACTCTAAAATGCCAGACTTAAGTATATTCATTAATACAATTGTCTACATTTACTTGTGTACTCCATCTGCTCTCATTTGCCTTACCTTTTTTTCACCCTGTTTGGAAGTACCTTGTTTACATGTGATACTTCAATTTTATAATGCCATCCTCCTCCAAGCTGTTGTCCCAGTGTTATTTCACCCCTGACTTTTTCCTCAACATTACAACATAAAGGAAAGGAAGAGTATTTCTGAAATTTTATTTTCATATAGATATAAAATATATATAGCATAACATATATATGTGTATATATATGTATATATATTATTGCTATCCACTGAGTACTTCTGTGTTTTCCAGTCAAAGAACACATATTCCCTCTCTACCTTTTTCTGGATACAGTACATACTATAACTTAAATTGAAAGCAAAGTGGCTATTACAGACCAAAGGCAACAGCCAGCTTCAGGAACTTTGCCCTGAATTTGATCAGGCTCTGTAAAAGTGGATGAATTTTAATGCCAAAATATCCACCAAAGCGTATCTTTAGATACTATCTGGCAAAAATAGTGTCTTAGGCTTCAGAGACTAAAAATAAATCATATACATAATAAGCAATATTTTTTTAACATATCAAAATAATACCATGTAAGACTGTAACACAAACCCCAAATAAACCAAGAAAACATCTTTAAATGGAATTCCATTGACTACATACAAAGTGCATAGAGGTAACACTGTTTCTTACTAGGTTTCATAGAACCGGCTGAATGCCTGCATGCGAAGAGTTGTGGTCAATGGCTCAATGTCCAGTTGGAAAACAGTAACGAATGGTGTCCCTCAGAGATCAGTGTTGGGACCAGTCTTGTTCATCGTTTGTCGGCGACATAAACACTGGGATTCAGCGCACCCTCAGCAAGTCTGCTGATGTCACCAAGCTGTGTGGTTCAGTTGACACGCTGGAGGAAAGGAGTGCCATCCAGAGGGACCTTGACACGCTTGTTGTAAATGCTCCATCCCTGCTGGTGTTCAAGGCTGGGCTAGATAGAACCTTGGATGACATGGTTTAGTGCGAGGTGTCCCTGCCAATGGCAGGGGGGTTGGAACTAGATGAACTTCAGGTCCTTTCCAACCCTAACTATTCTATGATTCTATGATTCTGTAGTCCATTCTATGGTTTCCAGAAACAGACTACCTCTTATGATGTATCTGGCCTAATACCAGAAATATTTTCTTCCATGGAGAGCTTTGTGGTACATGGCCTTGGAAGAATTTTATTTTTTTATCCAAAAGTTAGAGAAATAGTTACAGCAATCTTTTTATTCAAACCTGATAAAACGTCTAACCATGCTTTAAAAAAGGAAGAATATAACCCTGCACAAGGCAACAGGAAGTTGTGTAAGATTGCCTGTATGATCTGAGTCATGATGTATGTTTGACACTAACTATAATCAAAATAAATCCACAACTAAGAAAAATTGGGCAGAAATATTAAGTAAAAGCTTTCAAACAACTGCACAAGTATTTAACATTATAATGTAAATAAAGGTTACGACAGTTTGACATCATCTAGGCTGAATAACAGCAGAAATATCATCAGCTTTTCAGACTTGATACTTAGTGATAACTTTAACATTTTAGAATCATAGAATAGTTAGAATTATAGAATAGAATTAAAGAATTATATTCGCTTCTATTTTATTCTAGTCTATTTATTGAACTTGAATTATATTATAGAATAAAATCATTCTAAATTATTCTATTCTGGATAGACATGTAGAATGGAATATAATTTTGCCTGGTTGCTCTGAGCACAAAACACAAAAAAAAAAACCAAAACCAAAATGTCAATTTTAGTTTTTGAAATATATGGAAAGGGTAATTTTCTAAGCACATGGTTTTCTTTAGAAGTTTAATTTGTAATCATTGGCATAGTTGTGACCCTTTATAAAGGAACTTGCAAATTATCTGCAACCTCAGTTGTCCATGGATTAATTCCAAGTTTGCCACTCATTTTCTATGTCTGAATTATTCCAAACATGACAGCAAAACTCTCCCTAGTTCAGCAAAATTCAGTTTGAATTTGCTTTGGATCACTCAAGTTAAGGCCTTTGTTCTTTCCAGGAATCTGCAAAGTATAGATTTAGACTGCAAAATTTAGTAATCCATTTTTACTCAGTCATCCAATATTCCCTAAAGCTTGCTTTCAGTAGAAGAAAAGTAAAAGGAATAATCAGCCAGAAATTGAAATTTTTAATAAGTTTATTTTTTTCATTTGAACTATTATACCTGACTATCACTGTACGATTAGGAGGATAAATTAGTGTATTTGTGCAAAGAACAAAATTCTTACCAGGGTACAGTATTTCTATTCTTCCACTCAACTCCTACCATTTCCCTTAAAGAGTACATTGTCAAATGTACACATTCTTGATGCTTCAGAAATTTCCGAAGAAGAAAAATTTAGGCTTTATAACCATATATCTGCCTTACTGCAAAGTTTACTGTCCAAACACAATCTCCTTCATCTTT